TTCTTCAGTGTCAGCTTATTAGCACATACGCTAACGGAGGAAGCAAAAAGAAAAAAAAAAGTATAACACAACTTTTTATTAATAATGATGCTTTAAAAGTGACACCTTAGATTGAGGAAAAAAATGTTTTACTTTTCAGAAAGTCACACCTATCACCTTGGAAAGCACCAGATGTTTAGACAAAAATAACTAAAATTAGCAGAAGTTTTTAAAGAGGGATACTTCATACAAAGCACTCTATGCAGCATTCCCAAAATTATATTTTTAGGTTCATTCAGCTTCCAAGTCTGGGTATACAGACTACAGAGCTAACATCCTATCAGTAGTTATTAGGCAGGCCTACATCCGGTTTTACATCCATTCTTCAATTTGCAACATGCACTCCTGCTTATGAGCTCTAGCACGTGCCAACTGAAAGATGCCACCTGCAAATGTTGTAAGTTACTCATTTGCTATGTTTCCTACTACCAACAGTCGCTGCTTACTTGAACTAAGATCTTCATGTGCAAAATAACACTTTTTAAGGTTAAAAAAGTACTTTAGCACAAAATTAAATATGAGTTCTTATAAAATGGCAATTTAAACACAGTTGTATTGGTAAAATGGGATCAAGCTTCTTCCCGCAGCACCTTTTCCAAAGTCTCTGATTTCATTCTTTCATGAATGAAGATACAAAAGAAAGCTGTTTCTGCAATAGTTTTGTTTTTTAAAGTGGCATTCCTTAAAGATGCATTTTAACTCAGAACTATAGGTCCTGCAATTATTAGCAAATCTCACCCCTACATGCATCTTGAAGCCTGATAGATTTTTTAAAAATAAATCCCATTTGCAGGAATAGGAACTTCATTTCCTACGAATGTGTAATCTGCTTCACTGTATTTTAAAGTTCAACTTTTCCCTGGTTCACCCCAAACTAAGCATCTCATATTTCACTGCAACATTGTACTGAGGTTTAAGGGAAAAAAATACACGCAACGTTTAAACACAAATGTAGTATTTGAAGTTGGTAGCGCTGTCATTTGAGCCTTCAGCTTTGAAGTGCGCACAACTTGCAATCCAGATTCTGGTGATTAGAAAACCAAGAAAAGCAGACTGTTTTGAGGTGTACGTTTTGATGGTTTGGGTGGGTTTAGCAAAGCTTTCAATTTAACCCTATTAAAAACACTGAAGTTCTCCCTGGCAAACTTTGAAACATGGCTCAACGCACTACACCTTGCTAATGGTAAAAATAATTCCAGAAAACATAGTAACGACCTGAACAAGACAAAAAAAAAAAAAAAGGGTGACTTTCTAGACATTTTTAAAGTGAAATCATGTGGGTTGACCTTTGATCACAGACTTCAATTTTTCTGTGCTCTTAGAAGAACCTGGACAAGTGTATAAACTATAAAACAAAACCGTTTCAGATACATCCGTAGAAAAAATTATGAACATCTGAACCTTATGCAAGCTGCTATTTTCTTCAAATTTCACGATTACAGGTGGCTCAAGTTCTTCAAAAAGTATGTTTCCAGCCTGTTTTTAGGTAGTTGCCTCTTTGAAAAGTTTAAGATGCAGGTATATGTAATTTATTTAGTCAAACGTGGTTGATCAGTAATATAAATATATACATTTACAATTGAGAGGAGACCTCAATGCAGTAAGACTGAGGTTTGCTTTGCTTTATGCAGCAATTAGCAGGCTTCTGCTCAACACATAAGTAGAATTTTAAATTCAGCTACTGAGCAGTACTGATGTAAGCATAAAGGAAAAGAGTGAGAACATAAAATGTGGCTTAAAACAAACAAGTTTGAGATTAAATCCAAACTGGAGAATAGCGCTTAGTTTAGAGTGTCTGCTGCAGTGCATCTAAAACAGCATTTTCTTCTCTCTCAAGGGTTTAAAAAAGACCATGGCCACCATGGACCAGGAATTTCCACGCTCTGCTCTTAGCATCAACAACAGGAATGAACTCAGAAATGTTCTCCATATACAATCTCTGTACAAAGAAAACAAGGTAAAGAAATTGAGTTTTGTACCAGACCAATGGTCTTATCGGGTCACAACCTTAGGTCTACAAATGTGCTGAAGATGCTAATGAAATAAGGACAGATGAAAATGAACTCTTCACGCTTCTGCACAGGTCCTGATTATGTTATTCAGTTCATGCTTTGCGATATATTTTGTCCCGATCCTGTAACATAGTTCACCAACACTTCAACAATCAAAAGTGGCCACTGGAATTTGCCAGTTACTGTCCTGTTAAATCCATGTATTGCTCCCTATATTTCAAAATATCCATGTATTTGATTCTGCTTGACACTTTGCTTTTAAAAGCGTATATTAACTAAGAAAATCTAGATGCTTCATTTCTATTTTTATAAAAATGTATTTAATCTTCCCCTTCCCAACAGGCCAAGGAGAACCCACTGAAAACAATTCTAGAAATGATGACAAACTATTTCCTTGGATATTTTGGAAGCATGACTACCATCAGTCCAAATTCTGTGGCATCACTACCTCCGAATAAAACCTCCATACTCAGTACAGCAGACTACTCCGAAGACATGCGTGGGAATACAAGGTCCGACGCAAGTAAAACTGAAACCTACAGGTAGTCTCCTTTTTGCCTTTAGTGTAACCCCTACAATTATTTCCAGGTTCTAAGGATGCAGATTCAGTTCCCACCTTCAGATTGCATTCATTTTTACTAGCTACACAGGACAAGCAACTTTAGATAGCTGCATGTTAGCAACAGCATTCTGCCATCAGTGCAGGAAAATCAGTAGGACCAATGCTCAAAAAAGTCATCCTTTAAAATTGTGGGGTGCTCTTGACTGCACCTTCTGCTGCTGCATTCACAGTATTTGATAGTATTAGCTCTACTCATTTAAATCATGCAAGACAATTAAATTACAAGTTATCATCTGACCCGTGCTCTTTCCTGCCTGGGGCAAGGAGTCAGACTTGATCTACTGAGGTCCCTTCCAACCCTAATATCTATCCATGTATGAGGTTATATGATTAGTGGGAGTTTTGAATGTGAATAGCTGCCACTTGAAGTAGTGATAAACAGTTGAACACGAAGTGGGTGAACTCTCTATGTATCTAACATAGTAACATGAAGCAAGTGTAAAAAAAGCATGGTTTGCACCTCTATATACTACACTAAGTTTACACTGCACTATTACTATCCAGAGATGTCTATATAGCTAGCTGACAAACTCATCACGTGGCTAAGCATACTCAGCGATCAGTCAGGCAAAAATTCATAGAACTTTTAAAAAAATATATGTTGTCAAAGGCTGATCAAAACTCCTCTTCCCATTTATAAGAGACCAGCTGCCTTTGCAAGCCCCAGATGACCGCCTAGCCATGCACCCAAGCAGGCTGAAGCAGCCCTGGACTCTCTTGCTGCAGCTTTCCAATAAGCCACAGGCACTAAAGTAATACTTTGCTTAGCCCTGCTGCAAGACTAGCAGCCGGAGGCACGAGCTGCTGCAGTTCTTGGCAGCCTGGTGTAAGCCCAACGCCCCCCCGTCTTTTTTTAAAGGAAGTCGTTCTAATTATTCCTTCTTTAAAGTGAATATTGCTTTAATTAGTTATCAGTCTCTACCCACTAACGAAACAAGCTCTGAAACCCCGCGCACTGCTCTCCTAAAGCCACACAGCCTCTCCACACCACCCAGTTCCCTTGCCACGTGTCCTCCCCCCTCGCCCTGCCTTATATAGACTCGCCAGCGCCGCGCATGCGCAACGCAGCGCAGCACGCGAGCTCCAGGGAAAGGGGGAAAGCGTGACCAGTGAGAGGCCGCTCCGAGGCAGAGTGGTGCCGGCCACAGGAAGTGAAAGGGCGTACCGCTCTGCCTTCAGCTCCCCCCCCCGTGGAACTCTGTGGTCCTGGGCCTCCAAAGCCTGGGCATGCGCAGTGCTTCCCTGTAGGGGGTGTGGAGGAGAACGGAGTGGAAAGTTGCGTTCTTAAAGAGATACGCACACGCACGCATAGCTCAGCCCCTGTGCTGGGGGATGCAGACAGGGGGTTGATCTTGCTCGCTGCCCACTCTTCAATTGCCCCTTCCCTGGGGGCAGCTTGAGAAATTAAAGGGTTTGCACCGTGCAACTGGCAGCACCCCAACAGCGTAGGGGTGGGTGCAGAACAAGTTCCCTGCAACTCCTAAGGGACTTGCTCCATCTTTGCTGTGGGGTGAGCCCAGCTCCTGGGCTGAGGTGATGCTATGATGTTCCCTTTCAATGAAAAAGGGATTTTTTTTAGCCCTTGATAAACACACCCTGTATGCTATAAACCCAGGAGGGGTTTAAGAACAAGCATGAAGGCTTGTATTGTTATGTTACAGGCTTGCTCCCCACTTCCGCCACCAGTGCTTTCTGAGACAATCTCATGATTTCTGCAACTCGTGACGCAGCCCTGGACTTGGCTGTACTGAAAAGGCCTTGCAATAAGCAGACAGAGCAGAAGGCTTTACTACGGATTTGGGGAAAAGAAAGTGCAAGAAAAAACAAGGGACCTCTATTGCGCCCCTTCTTTTAATGCCCTCTGTGGTATGGCACAATAGGACAGGGAGCTTAATGGGCTTTTATGCTTTCCTGTGAATCATCTGGTATTAGCTAAGCTCGTGGAGAGAAATCCTGGCCCTAGCAAAGTCAATACTGTTGCTATTGAATTGAGTCGAGCCACTACTTTCTCCTTGTGTGAGAGGCCAAAATTCTTGTAGCTGATAACTTGTATTGGGCCAATAGTGTGGTTGGCATATATTTTGGTATTTTGGGACTCTGGGAAAAAACTGGGCATAGCAGGACTAAACAGTAGATGGGCCAAGGACTCTTGGGTGAATAAAATGAGGACATAAAATAAATTATCAGGTAGCCAACAGACAAGATGTGTAATAAAAACCTGATGTTCCTGGCTTTTATTTACAGAAAACCCTTGGTCCATCTGCCTCTCTCCCAGAGACACAAGGAAGCATATAGTAATACCCGGAAAGCTTTTCCAAATCTATCCCAACTGTGCAGCTGGTCCAATGCAAGATATCACCCACAAAAAATAATTGCCTCTCACAAATTACCTGGACCATAGTGGCTACATGACCTCAGCACTACCAAATTCCTCCTGAATTAACTTCTTTCTGAGTAGTCCTCGCTGGCTTCTGTGGAGTTGCTTTTACCGAAAGTTAGGCAACCTACACGTTTTTTTCTAAAATATGGGTACCACAACTCTTCCAGCATGTTTAGACATCCTGTGATTCAATAAGGAGTCAGAGAACCTTTTGGAGAACAGTATTACCAAGGTATACAAAAATCTCAGGTCTCACAAAATTATAATGGAGAGCGGTAGTTAACAATGGGCACATCTACAAGTGTCCATACAGCAACGTTGCTACAGCACCATGCTTTTGCACGCCCTTTTGGAAGTAGTAAAGCATGGTGCAGTAAGCACCCATGCTGTGCCATACGGGTGGTGCACGCTTAGATTTCCCTGCTACGTCCCTGTAGCAGTACCCTATAAGTGGGGAGTACGCTGCTACAGTGATGTGGCTAGTGATCATGTGTAGACCCATGCAACCGCTACGTCACCGTAGCATGCCATACGGCGATGTAGTGCATTGCTACGTTGCTGTAGGGCGACGTGTAGATGCGCCCAGTGTTAATCTGAAGTTAGACTGCATGGCATCTTATAGGCTAGCTTGTCCAGAGAGGCATAAGCTTTCATAGGCTTTCATCTACTTTGTCAGGTGCTACCATAGACTAAAGCCCACGAAAGTTCATGCCATTCTGAACAAATAAGTCTATAAGGTGCCATGCTTTCTTCCTATAATTATAATATGTAGGAAGGAAACACTTTTAAACCTGTTTTTTTCTGTATCTCAAAATCATTCAGTCTTACATCACATAAGAAAATCATAACAAGTGATGAAGGAATGAACATTCTTCTTAGCATGTTATTTCCTGTATAATTCACGTGAATTAATAATATAAACAGGTCCTTGTTTAAATATTGAAAGGCTATATGTAGATATTTTGAGATGTTGCTAGACATTTTGCTGGTTACTCCTACCATGTAACTCTGCTATAGTAAATGATCTTTTATTGATAGTATTTGCATATCATTTTATTTCTTGAACGTATGCTCCTTTTTTTCCCCCTTATAGATGTGAGATTGATGACCTGCTTGATAAAGTCATTCCATCCAGGAGACATCATCATAAAAGTGAGAAATCCAACACTGGGATAAGTCCAAATAGTAGCTCATTCTCCGAAGGGGATAAAAAGTTTAAAAACAGCATGGAGGATTTAAAAATAATAAGAAATTCAGAGGAGATGAAGACCACAATGAAAGAGAAACAAAGGCCTAGGTCTAGTCTTATCCTCAGAGGAATGATGGCTGGACCAACAGCGAGTTCACAAGAGGTGATTTTTCAATACCTGAATATATAAAACAGTTGATTGATACTAAGGATTAACATATTCAGTGAGATGGCTATTTAACATAACAGAAAGACTGTTTTTATACAACAAATGACTAAATTCGGATGTTGTATGTATGAAGAAATTTAAAAAAACTGATTAGAGTTAATGCATTAAGAAACCTCTCAGAGGATTTAGAATCACAGAGGACCATCCAGTTGTGCAATAATTAATCATCACCACAGCTCTGTGATGTTTGCTTATAATATACTCGTGCATGTTTGTTTTATATGTTACCTTTTATCTCTTTAAGCCAGGGATTTTAAGGGGTCATAAAGGAGATGTGCACAAATGTTAATTGAATTTCAGTGGAAATGAGTACATGAGTTCCTTAGGTTTCTTTGCAAATTCTAGCCCCTGCCAACCAATATTTTGGTTCAAAGAATTAGATTTCAGCTAACCTATTTCTGTGTTTTGTACTGTTCCTCATCAGCATGTATTCTTGAAAAAGCAGCTATGTATTTTTTCCCGTTCGTTCCATGTTGTGTTAATGAGAAGTTGGTGTGAGTAAAGAGTGAAGAAGTCAGCCTCAAATTATTAGTAACAGAGAAAACTCAAAGGATTAATTAGAACACCTCATTTCTAAGAAGCTCACAAAGTTTGTATGTATACCTGAATTGGGTCCAAAAATCTTTGGCCTGGCAATGAAGTCAGGTGCCTCCGAAACAGAAGCTTTTTGATCACATTTCTTGGACCTGCTGGTTTCATGTGAGATGGGTGTAAGCTCAAGAACCAGCTCTTATATTTTGTTTCTGCTCCCGGATGAAAGAGGGAAGTGCAAAAACCACCGAGCCTTTTATAAAGTTCAACCCTGGGACCATCATAATTTTGGATGAAGGTTCAAGCCAGCTCTTTTTGTTAGCCAAACAATTTCTTCCCCCAACAAATGCCTGTCTCTGATGAAAACAGAATCCCTTATATAACCCACTAGTTTAAGTATTAATGCTCTCTGTTGATGTAAAGATCTGGTATTTTTGGTAATTAGTTATTTTCTTTATTGGCAACTTATTGTAGGACTCGCTAAAAAGGAGGCCTCTGAACCAACGATCTTCTAGCATAAGTAGCATAATACAATTCAAAGGAGAACACAGTCATTCTTCAAATCTGCCAAATGGCGATTTTCAGGAGAGCAAAGTGACTTCTGTCCAGTCCGTAGGTAACCTCTGTCCACACAATGACAGTGCCATGAAAGCAGACATGGAGCTTTCATCCAAGACTTTGTCAGGCTCGTACAGGATTTCAGCCGCCGAGGAAATCAGAAATATCCGTGAAGACACAGACGACCTGTTTGCCAGGCTGCTGTCAGAAAGAGAGAGAAGCCGAGTTGGAGAGAGGAAATTGATGCCAAGCTTTGATACAGAGACGGGTGAAAAAACCCTCAAATTAAATACGTTTCACAGATATTCTGGATCTGGAAGGGAGAAAAGAGAAAGGTCTCTCAAGAAGAATGAAAGTCCATTACCAGGCCCCAGGTAAGATCATTGGAGAGCTTTGAAAAGTACTTGTAAAAATGCAATTCTGCAGAGTCCAGGAAGACTTGCAACTAAGCAGCAGTGGTGTATAGAAAGCTGAGCTATGATTTCCAGAACTGAGATGGGATATCTCATGCTCCTTGGCTGGTATAACGGGAAAGGAAGACAGAGAGTAGCACCAGCCACATCAGAGGCACAAAAAGATGTGGCTTGTCATGTTTGTAGGGAGATGATACCCACCCTCTCCACTCCCTTCCAAATTCCCCTCAAGGAAACTTGATCAGAGTAGTATCACATCTCAAAAAATACATGCAACCTGAAGGGATTCTTGGGAAAATGAGGGAAAAGAGAAGGGGGCTGATTCCTGGCTCATCCACTGGAAGAGCTCCCAAAAAAGTGTTACAAAGAAGGCCACTGTCATTGTCCCCATTTTACACATGGGGAAACTGAGGCAAGTGAGAACATGCAGTAAATCAGTGGTAAAGCTAAGGGTGGAACTCGGGTATCCCAAATCTCCATTGGGTACTTTATCCACCGGATTGCAATCGAAAAACTTGTGTAAGTGCTAAAAATTGCGGGTGTCAGCAACTCTTTAAACTAGTCACTCGTTGGTATGAAATAGCATTAGGCCCCTGAGTTTGAAAAAAGTTAGATTTATGAGAATAGCGGCCAGGATGATGGATTGATTTGCAAAAGCTCCAAGGGAAATTACATTCCTTCAAGGCCACAGCATTACCAGACATAGTTCTAGGTCAGTATGCAATATTTTGCAATGAAGAGCAAAGGTTTAAAAAGTGCTCTGCACTAGAAGTGCAAATTTATTTTGAGGCAGCAATTTAAAGGATGACCAAAACTGAGAAGAGTATGTATGCTCGCAGTATTCGTAAGATAATAGATGGAGAACAGACTACTGTTATATAGCACTACTTTGTGCAGTGTAGTCCAATAATATGCATGCGGGATTAGCACGCAATTTGCTTAACTGCATAGCACAACACCAGTCATTCTGGTGCCTATTGCTTCCAAGCTAACAAGCATTGGCTGTCCTTGTATCAGTGAAGGGCATAAGCTAGCTGCATCTTTTGGCCCCACTCTCTGCTTCAGGAAACTGCACGAACCTCAGCCGTCTCTAGACATCTGCCCACAAAGAGGAGCTCTGCAGCTTCTCTGAAACATTGTGAATTTTGGAAGGCAGAGGAAGGCGAGCTGCAGGAAAAGCAGTTATCGTGAGGCTGTTATTAGAAGCTTTGAAAAGGAGAAGTGGTTGTTAATGCCAGGATTGCTATCTCCCCTTGTTTGCAAGGCTTCTAACAAGAATCCCAAAAGAGCCTCTTAGAAGCCCTGAAAATGTCTGAAGCTGCCACTGTCGTGTCACAGCAGCGATGGAGCTGTGCACTGGACGGGCATTGTTTGCATCACGTGTGGATATGAGCATGCGTGCAGGCCACAGACACTCTTTCATCTCCACCTGTAAGAATGCCTATGAAATTGTGAATTTCTGTGAAATTCCTACGGGCAGAAAAATAGCCTCGGAGCTGGAGCATACATGCCTTCCAGCTTCCTGATGGGAGAGATACACAGGGGAGATTTGCAGCCAGTGGGCACTAAGGAGCCCTTTGGGGAGGGAACCCTGTCCTCTCCCCTGCCTAGCAAGGGAGCAGGCTGTCAAGTGGCCGTGGGCAGCTATTGCAAAGCAGCAGCCAGCCCAGGAGGGTTCGACCTCTGGGAGAACTCCCCCCACCTCCACCCTGCCACTCAGCTGAATGGCTGGGGGGCAAGGGGGGCATTGCCCCATGGGGGGGTCCCCCTGCGGTTCTCCCCTCACCCCCACAAAGGAGAAGAGCCCCTGCTCCTGGCACTGCTCCAGGGCAACCTGGAGGTGGGGGGCAATCTCCTGCCCCAGCAAGGCTGGCAGCTGTGGCACAGCTGTCTCCCCCCCCAGGGGGTAGTTCTGCTTCTGGGGCTCCAGGAGGAAATGCCCCACTCTCATGCTGATCAGCTGATTGATGCGGGGGGAGGATGATCCCCTGCAGGGTCATCACAGGGCTCCCCGGCAACTCATCCCTGGGCAGGCTATCGTGAAACACATGCTATCCCTTCTTCCCTCTCCCTTGGAGAGAGGGAGGGAGAGCAGAGAGGACTGTGGGACACTGGATGTCCTCCACACCTGAGAGAAGCTCAAGTCAGTCCTTCCTCATAGGGACCTGATCTAACTACTTTGGGAAGAGCCAGGTCTCTTCCGCCGGGAAGCCCTTGAATGCCTGTATGCCCTGCTTTTTGTGCCGGGGGAAGCTTTGGTGCCCAGCACAAGTGCAAAGCTTGTTGAGCTTCTTCTTCCAGTCCTGAGGCTTTGCTCCTAAATGCGGCGCACCCCTCTGTTGTAAAAGGATGGTGGAGTTGAATAAATCCCATTCTAGCCAACAAATCACATAACTTCAGGCCCCAGGGCTAGGCTCGGTAGCAGCTGCCATGCAAAAGCAGCGCCTCTGTAGGACAGAAACAAAAAGTGACGGCCATCCCGATAGGGATCGGGTCTTTTTTGCCGGGTCCTGTATAGTATGTCACACTACAAGTTTGATTTCTGTGCCAGTGTGCAGATAGGACAGCAGAGGGAGCTCGCTCATTAACAGAGACCCTTCCCTTGCATCGGTATTAGAGTTGTCCCAGGTCACTCTGCTTAAACCAAGGAAGCATTTTAAGCACCTGCTGAACTTTGAGTGCATGAGTAACCTCTTTGAAACGAGTGGGACTGCTCAGCTGCTTAAAGTTATGCAGTCACCTAAATGCTTTGCAGGGTTTGGCCAGAGCAGAGCACTGAACGCTGCAAGACGAAGCTCCTTCATTGCAGCCGTCCCATTGACACTGTTGTTTACGATGGCAGAATCCAACCCTGCTAGATTCATATCTGAAACCTTATGCAGGGTTGGCCATAGCCAGTTCAGCCACAGGGATCAGTAGTCTTTTTTCTCGTAGCAAAGGAAAGACATTCCGGTCTTATTTTTCCTTCCTGTTTTTCTTTTCCTTTGCAACCCTGGTTTGCAATTTTCAAAGGTTTCTATTGTTATTCACAAGCCTCAGGCATCTTTTGTCTGCACATATATTTGGCCAAAAAATATGAGGCAAAACCACAGCATTGTTTCAAAGCACTATCTGAATATCAGCGAACAGCCGCAAAAATGGAGCAGAGAAAAACAAGTGATAATGAAAGTCCACTGGGGAAATCCAGATGGCCCGTGATTTTGACTCTCATAGTTAAGGGGAAGGAGGAACACAATAATCAGGTTGCTATTTTGTGACCCGTCAATGCATCTTAAATAAAGCATCAATTGGGTTAAATGGGAATGTATTCATTAACAGAAGTCGTTTTTGTAGTACTGTAATTACAGTACAAAATTAGATCTCTTTATTCCATGGTCTGTATAGCAATTTGTTCTGACTAAGAATTACAGTCTCTTTTTATAGCTAGCCAGGTAGACTATTAAATTGAGGAGACATTTAGATTTCTGGTATGACCAAAATCAAGTGCCACGTGGCACATACCTGTATGAGGAATGTTGAACCGACTAGCAAGACATTTTTGGTGGGGGATGCAAAACAAAGGCAGGTTTAGATGTTAGTATTGCAGCTGGAAAAGTTACTTGTTACACACGCCCTCACAAAATAATTGCCTCAGTGTAGTGAAATCAGGCAGAAACCACATATATGAATGTGGTGTTTATTAAAATGACTCTACTGAGGCTCTCAGAATTGAAATGTGCTGTTCTAGGTCTTATAAAGTTTCCAAGCGTCTACAAGAGCCACGATTTAACTACAGTTACAACACGGCTGTTGTGAGAAAATATTGACTCTTAAAGGGAGACAGCGTTTCTTCACTATATCCCAGGCTAACAGTGCATCCCAGAGTAGATATGTTGTATTATCAGCATACCATGATTTTGCAACCTCCCTATAGTCCCAGAAGTTTGAGCTGGAAAATACCTCTGGTTCACATAATGTCCGTCAATGTAGTGTTTGGCTGTTACTCTGCAAAGGAAAGGGATACTTCTGTGCTCCTCCAAGCCAAGGAAGATG